TGTTGACCAGGATGGTCTCGATCTCTTGACCTCATGATCCACCCGCCTCGGCCTCCCAAAGTGCTGGGATTACAGGCTTGAGCCACCGCGCCCGGCCTGGGTCCTAAATTTTTAGCATAGCAGGGGTTACACAGCTGTCACCATTTCTCAAACTGACATTTCAAGTTGGTGAATTTTAAAGTCTGTAAATTATGACTCATTAAGCTGATTTTTTAACAGTTTTTTAAAGCATGTTATAAAACAACACGGTTAATAGGGTCTCAATTTTGTGCAAAAAAGAAGTACACACCTATGTTAGTCAAGGCAGCTTAAGATAGGCTGTGGCAAGAAAACCCCTCAATCTTGATGGCTTAAGGCAACTAATATTCATTTCCTCATCATGCCCCAGTCTAAGATAAACTGGGTAATGTCTGAGGCAGCTCTGCTCCACACAGTGATGCTGGCATCCAAGCAGCATCCACCCTCAGTTCCAACTTCTCAACACGTGACTCCCACAGTTACTGCCAACAGAGGGGAGGGTGTGCAGAGGCCCCGACTCTTAACTGTCTCCACGGCAGTTGGCCCAGCTCCCCATTGCGTCCGCCATCTACCGGAAGAGTCATGTGGCCCCAACGCAACAGGCAGGGAGGCTGGGAAAGGAAGGAGACCATGGATATGCAGCAAGTGCCGGCTATCTCTGCTGTGACATTTCCTTAGAGACACCAGCTCCCTCTTGCTCCCTTTTTCCTATACAGAGAACACGCCCTCCTCTCTAAGGGGAAGAAACCTGTCCCACCCAGCACTGCCTCCAGCCCAGAGTGATGTGCAGGTCCTATGTCTGTGAGGGTCCTGTTGTCCAGGGCCTTCTGAACTAAAATGACAGATGACCCACCCTTCTCCACACCCCTCAATGTACTCCGGTGGCTACCGCAGGCAGCCTTCCCACCTACAGCCTGTGCAGATGTGTCAAGATTCATAGTGAGTCTGAGAGCCTGCTGGCACATTGTGGGCAGCCCCTCCCTTGAGGTTGAGGATAGGCTTTTCATCAGGCCCTGATGCTTCTCAGGGCAGAAGCTCCCTTGTCCAGCGCCCTCCAGGGCCCCTCATTGTGCCTTTTGGGGTGTTCTCTTTCTGCTGGTTTCCCTTTTCTTCTTATCCCTCTCTGCGGTGAGATCTCCCACTTTCTCAGGCCACTTCCTGTCTCCTAGAAGGGCAGAGGTCCTAATGTCACTTAATCCCATTTCAAGTTTCAAGTCATCAAAGGCTCTTGTAGGCCAGGCGTGGGAT